AGGGAACCCTGCTCAGAGCTCTACGGTGATCTAAAAGGGAAGGAAATCCAAAAAGGAGGGGATATGTGTGTATACACAGCGGATTCATTTCGCTGTACAGCAGAAACTAACACAATTATTGTAAAGCAACTACACTCCAATAAAAATTTTTTTAAAATAAAGTCCCAATTCGATTATCCTCAAATTATGTAGGTTACCTGCATGAGCCGAATCCAATCAGCTGAAACCTTTAAAAATAGGGTTTTCCACTGCTGATGGCAGAAGAGTGAGGCCAGAGACATTTGAGTTGGTGGAGGGGATTCAAGGTATAAAAAGGGCAACTACTCGCCTCCAGGAAAAAAGCAAATGGCTCTGCTGTGAATTGCCAATGGAGAGGAAGGCCGGCCTCTAGAAGCTGAAAGCAAGCCCCAGCCATAAACCAGCAACAAAGTGGGGACCTCGGTCTCACAGCTGCAAGGAAACGAGCTCCGCCAACAATCAGCGCTCTTGCAGAAGACCTCAGCCTCAGACAAGGACTGCAGCACCAGCCAACAGCTGCACTTCGGCCCTGTGAGACATGAGCAGGGGGTCCAGCTACGAAGAGCCTGACCTCCTGGCCCACATGAACTGTCAGATGAATACATGTGTGCTGTCCTAAACCACTGAGTTTGCTGTAATGTTACGGCAGGAAGGAAAAACTCACACAAGGGTGACCACAATTCTCCAGCTAGTCTGCTGTATATGGTTTACTGCTAACAAATGATGCCTCACGCATGTGTCATTTCACGTCTTTGCCAATAACAGATCTTTGGACAGCGTATCCGAGAAGTGAGATGGCTGGGACAAAGGGTAAAAACATGGAATTTCTCTAGATACAGCCAAATTCTTCATAGTAGTCACAGTATTCTGCCATTCCCACCAGCGGCCCAGGACAGTGCCAGCTGCCCCACAGCCTCCCCCACTGAACATGTTTCAGACGCTATCAACATGCTGAGTGAGAAAGAACAGTCAGTGTAGTTTCTCTTGTAACGAGGAGCATGAGGTGCTTTCCTCTAATAATAAGGAAGATTCAGCATTTACTCACAGATTGAGGAGTCATCCTGACTCCTTTTTCCATGAACTGTTTCTCATTAAGTCTCTGTTTCTGCTGAGTTTGTCTTGTCTCTTGGCAAGTCTTGACTTCTGAGTTCCATGTTTCCTTATGTATCTGGTGATTCTTGGTTGCCCATTTGTATTTTAAGAGGATGCACTGAAGTGTTGTTGAAAGGTCTGCATGCAGGAGTGGGGCTCATGATGGATGGGCTCCAATACAGGAATATGGGGCAAGGTTTCTTGAGCTACAGTAGGGGACAGCCAAATGGCCAGTCCCTGCGGGGATGGGATCAGCTTCCCTGAGGTTAATCTCCAAACTCTGGTCAAGGGCATGGAAACCAGGCTGCCAACAGCCTGTAAGTCAAGGAAGGGTAGAAAGCAGATGTCCTCACCCTTGAGAGTAAGCAGCTTTTCTACGATCCTTATTAGAGGGTCTCACAAAGCATCTCATCTCCCTCTGATATGTCTCAAACCCCACTTCTGAAGCCTTACCAGTTCAAACCACCCAGAATATATCTCACGTCTCCTGATGCAGCAGAAGAGGCAGAGGGTCCCGGACGCTCAAGCCTAGGAATCAAGTCCTCATGCAAATTGCCACCAATCCTCCTACATTGAGTCTCACCTCCCACTCACCACTGACTTCAAAGGTACCTTTACACCTGTCTTTCCCAGCCTGTCCTGAGTTCTGCCAGGAGGTGATCAGGTCTCCTCCCAGCTTCTCCCTCTGCAGACATTAATGATCTCAGTGAACATTCATCTCTCACCCTTCCAGCTTCCAAAAAACAAGGACAGGTGACAACATTCCTCTGCCCCAGTCACCTCCCCCTCTGCGGCTCTGTGACTTTTTGATTCCTTCACCCTCAGTTTAATACAGCATCAGGAGAGAGCATGTTTGAGCAGAAGATGACTACTGAGATTTCTTCCATTAGAAACCCTCCTCCATCTGCTCCTTTCCTCCTCCTGGCATTCCCCATGCTCTGCATGTGCGGTCTCCTGGACCAACACTCCAACTTCCCTATTGTTTCCATATGCATCTCCATGTCTTTGTCATTGGCTCTGTGTGGGTCATTGTGTCCTTTCAAAGCACTAATGCTGCCCCCCAGCAGAGGCCATTTGCTTTTGGTTCTTCTGCTGAATTTCAGGAAACTGCTTCTCCATGGAGTTTTCATTCCTTGTTCGTTAACATTCTGTCTATTCCATTAGTTCTGCCTCCATGAGGGCTGCCTGCCCTTGTTCTTCCTACTTCAAGTACTTCCAGCATCTCCGTCAGTGGACTATGACCAAGCTCTGCTTGCTCAAGACTTCCTCCCCCAGCTCGGCACCTGATCAGGCCAGGTTGTGGCAAAGATACAGGTGGGCAGGGGACATGTTCTCTCCAAGTGCTGGAAAATGAGATCACCCCCCTGCAGCCTCAGTCAGGGGCAGCCTGGCCCCCAAGGCAGCTCCACTGTGGATCCCCTGGGGACAGGATCACTGGCCCAAACACCACACACCAACAGCACCTGCATTCTGCACCCAACAGAAGACCTAAAGTCTGCTATTCCCCCAAGCTTAGAGGACAGAGTGTTCATGTCTCTGCCCACAGCACAGGAAGAATGGGGCCACCCTTACCTCTCCCGCAAGGCTAAGCCTCACCCTCCAGGCACCCCCCCCCTTCTCTCTCCAGAGAGTGCAGGGTAGGGGTCGGGGTTGGGGTGTGCATCCAGGCCACCATCTGTCCAGCACGGCCACAGTTTCTAAATACTCACTCAGGACACAGGAGGACCAAGCCTGTCCCACTCAGGCTCTCACAGTCTGAGTGATTCAGTTCTTTCCAGCTAGTCTCTGCGCTGGGGTGAGAAGCGGAATTTGAGATAGGATGATTAGAGTGGCTCTCAGAAGTAGTAACTAGTAGACTGAACAGAAACCTGCATGAGCTGAGGAAATCAGCCAAGCACATAGGTGCGGGGAGAGCACCGTGGGCGTGGGGAACACCAGAGGTGCGTGTAATGAGCAAGCGTGTGCAGGAAGCGACAAGAACTGTGCGGCTGGGCTGGCATGGAGCAGGCGAAGGAGGAGCGGTAGAACACAAGGGCTGAGAGGCGGGCAGGCATGAGATGAAGTCGGACAGAGCAGCCCACGGTCAGAGTGTGTGGTGTTACCTCGGCCCAACGGGATCTTATGAGGAGAATGTGAACAGGCAAGAAACAAAAGCGGATTCACACTGTGTGAGAGACACTCTAGCTGCTACACGGAGACCAGACTGTGAGTCTAAGAAACAATGGAAGAACACCTGTTGAGAAACGTATTACTTCTCCTGGAGGAAAATGATGGTAGATACAAGGAGAGATGAGAGGCAGCAAAGACAGTGATGAGGTCTTTACTGATAGGTAAGAGCGACTTCTGCTTCCAGCCATGATGGGCTCACAGGATCAGGGCACACCCTCTCATCTATAACCACCAACAAATAGACAAAACATATGAGACATCAGTTCTCAACTGGACATAAGACAACAACAGGTTGATCCCTGAGAGATGGGAATCAATGGAAGTTTGTTAGGACCCTGCACATGCCCACACCTAGAGAAGTGGTTCACCCGCAATGTGATGACAGGCTAAAGACAGATATAGGGAAGAATCTAACAGAAAACTACAAACACCTTCAAAGTGATGAACATGCTCAATGAAAGTCATGTGCCCATGAATTGATATTGACATGTGGTAGAACCCATCTGTGTGAAAAGACATTTTCAAAGATAAGAAACACAGAAGTGCATTAGGGATCAGCATCAACAGGAACATTTGCAATCAGATTTGATAATAAGGACTCTCACTTTGACCCCTAATTAAGCAAAATGTTAAGTCTTCTCCCCAAAAGAATTCTACTTTTCCCATTATTAGACCTATGTTACAAAAAGTATATACTCAATTATTAGCAGTATATACTGTTTCTTTAACTTCAGTGAAGTGGTTGATTTACAATATTGTGTTAATTTGTGCTATATAGCTAAGTGATTCATACATTATTTTTCATATTCTTTCCATTGCAGTTTATCAGTTTACTGAATATAGTTCTCTGTGCTATAGAGTACGACCTTGTTCATCCATTCTATATATCACAGTCTGCATCTGCCAATCCATCCCAGGGATATATTGCAAATAGTGTATTTTTAATTATGTCAACAAAAAATTTGTGAAAATTTGTCTTCTCTCTTATAATAGAAGTACATACATAATATTCACAATTTTGCTTCTTGACTTGTAAATCCTAAAACATGTACTCTCTGTTTGCAGGATAAAATTTTCCAATTACTAATCAAGATCCATCTCAGCAATTCTAGAATCTTCCCAGTATTCTATCTTAAGTAAAACAGCAGGTCGAGAAATAGACAGTAAACCATGTGCTCAAGATTCCTGCAGGATGTAACAAACAGGGCCAGACAGTTTCAAAGACATTAATCGAGAAACATCAGAGGATGGAGGGAACCTGAGGTACATTAGAAGCTTCTCCTTTTGGAGAGAAGAGATGAGACTCAGTAACCATAAGAGATCTGCCCAGTCGAGGACAGTCCACATACTCCAGATCCCCATCCTGCCTCCTTCTCTGCTGCACTATACTGGTTCCTCTGGGCTTTCTGCTGTTCTTTCCAGAACCTCATACTAATGAGAACTATGACCAAACCACCCATCAACAATGCCTTACAAAGATGCAAACCAGAACCACCTTTAACACCCTACCTTTAACAACTGTGCTCAGATCTAGGAAATCCCTAGTACTTAACCGCCAGCCGATGTCACTGTTTCCAAGCAGAGGTGATAAGTGAAAAATTAAACCCTTGGAAAAATCTAGGAAAATGACTTTCAATAACCAGGTACATAGGGGCCAAGAAACACTATGAATAAAACAGGCACCAAACTGAAGTCATTGGCAAAATCAGAGAAAATCTTACCTTGCTTGGCAGCTGAGCAACAGCATCTCATGGTTATGAATCAAAATATATAAAAGAACCAGAAAGGCTTTGGCTCTAATGGAAGTGGAGGGGCTGTCCAGTAAACGGATAATTGTAGAGACAAAGTCCTGTGGGAAACATGAGAATATTTTTTAAGAAAGCATGAAACAAATAAATAGAACAGTCAACTCTGAAGGTCAATAGATTATAATAAAAAAATAGATGGCATAAAATAAAATAACATCACCTGTCAGTTTTGAAAGTCTTTTTTAGTGCTATACTCTATACCAAGTTATTAAAATGTATGATCTCATTTAAACCTGCAAAGTAGCTGGAAAAGGTGACAATATTATCTCTGTTTTAAAAAAGGAAATCTTGAAAAGTTAAGCACTTTGCCCCAAATCACAAAATTGGATTCAAATCCAGGTCAGACAGACAACAAAGCCTGATTCTTAACCACCCATCACATGATCGGAAATGTGGCAATAACTAACTAGAACTTAAAGTCACGACTGCATGTATGCATGAACTTTTGAGCAAACCTGCACACACAAAGATCACACCTCTAGTCTACACAACTGAGGTCCTACAGACATAAAGTAAAAACAACAGCCAATATGGGACACAGGGAAAAAAACCTCCATTTCTATACATATATGGGTATGTATGTACACATGCTCAGTCACGTCTGACTCTGCGACCCCATGGACTGTAGTTCATCAGGCTCCTCTGTCCATGGGATTTCCCAGGCAAGAATACTGGAATGGGCTGCCATTTCCTACTCTACTATTTCTATAACATTCTTTACTTAAAGGTTTAACACAACACAGAAAAATAAGTGTTGATGAGTATTACTGTCATTTTCTCCTGTAACAAAAAGACTACATCATTCTGGGAGCCTACAGATATGCAAAAAATGGAATACACATACACACAGGGTTAATGGATATAAGTAGGCAGAATTATGGAATTGGATTGTTTTAAAGATGGTTACAGAGAGCAGGACTTTAATTTCCTGAGAGTCCTTGGCAGAGGCAAGTACCTAGGAGTGACACTGTGTGTCCAAGGTAGACATAAGCAGCTCAATTTTTTTTTTTTTTTTTTTTTGCCAAAGTGCTTTTACATTGGGTGCTATACTGGAAGGCAGGACGTGCTTACACAGCCATGTACATGATTCTATTTTAAAATGGAGATATATCTATATCTATGTACCACTCTTTTTGCCTTTTCATACTGTTCATGAGGTTCTGAAGGCAAGAATGCTGAAGTGGTTTGCATCCCCTTCTCCAATGGACCACATTTTGCCAGAACTCTCCACCAAGACCTATCCATCTTGAGTGGCCCTACACGGCATGCCTACAGGGCATGGCAGTCCCTTGAACTTCAAGGACATCAAACCAGTCAAAGAAAATCAACCCTGAATACTCATTAGGAGGACTGATGCTGATGCTCCAGTACTTTGGCCATCTGGTGCAAAGAGCTGACTCATTGGAAAAGACCCCCATTCTGGGAAAGACTGAAGGCAGGAGGAAAAGGGGATGACAGAGGACAAGATGATTTGATGGCATCACTGACTCAACAGACATGAGATTGAGCAAGCTCAAACTCAAGATGGTGAAGACAGGGAAACCTGGCATGCTGTAGTCCATGGGGTCGCAAACAGTCAGACACAACTGAGCAACTGAACAACAACAAATCCATCAGTCTCACCTAGATCCTGAACCGAATAATCAAACTAATTCATCAACTGGGGTGAAAAACAGAATCAACACCAAGGTGGTCTTGAGTAATGGACCTGTTTTCACCTTTCCAGTTGGCAGTAGAAAGCCCATTTCCCCAGAGTCAACTCTCAGTTCTAATTTATACAGTGCAGTCCATAGATCAAAATAAGAAGCTGTTTCCACACTGACACCACTCTCACATATACACGTGCATAACTGCAAAACCATGAAAACATCCATTAGCCATGTACTGAAAAAACGGTTTCAGACTACTGCAGACTAGAGAGACATGATATCTGACTGCAATTCAGTATCAGGAAGTTCTGTTTCACATCAAAGAACATTACAGGGACAACTGCAAAATCTGAAAAGGTCTAAATTAGCTATGTTAAAATAAATGTCAGCTTTGTGGGACTTCCCTGGTGGTTCAGTGGCTAGGACCGCACACTCCCAATGCAGGGGGTCTGGGTTCGATCCCTGGTCAGGGAACTAGCTTCCACATGCCCCAACTAAGAAGTCCACATGCCACAAGTGAAGATCCCACACGCCACAACTAAGACCCGGCACAGGCAGGTAGGTGAACAGTCAGACAGACAGACTGACGAATTAAAAAATAGTTAAGAAAAAAACTGAAAGTTCAAGTGTTTAGTCTTTCCTCTAGCTGGTAGGAAAGTGAGTTGTCATTTCTCCAAAGCCTTAAAAAAAATGTTATTTTCTTCTGACCCAGTTATTGTATCTCAAGAATTTTAGTGTAGCAAAGTGATGATCAAAAGAGCTTTAAGTACAAGAATGCTCATGGCAGTACTGTTCATAAGATAGACAAAAATAGGAAACAAACTTAACATCCCCAAATAGGGATTTTGTTAAATCATAAGATTCTGAGAAAGATGGAAGGCAAAAAGAGAAGAGGGCAGCAGAAGATGAGATGGTTAAGTAGCATCACCAACTCAATGGACATGAATTTGAACAAATTCCGGGAGACAGTGAAGGATAGGGAAGCCTGGCATGCTGCAGTCCATGGGGTTGCAAAGAGTCAGACACTACTGAGCGACTGAACAGCAACATTATACCTAGTAATGATGCATGTGAGGAGGGCAGGTGAAGTAGGAAAAAGATGCCACAGAAGTGACACTGCACAATTTCCAAAGCCAGGTTTGCAAAGGCCATGCGGCTCCTGTCTGGTTCTGTTGAGACACTCTCTCTCTCGGAACCCAGCTGCTATACTGTGAGGAAGCCGTACTAGCCCTCAGGGGCCCTACGTGGAAAGCAACTGAGGATCCCAAGCTACAGCCCAGTTGGGTTCCCAGGGAATGGCGAGCACCAGCTTGCCAGTCATCTGAGTGAGCCTTTTGGAAAGTTTATTCTCAGTCTTTCCCAGCTTTGCTTAAATTACCGACTGGTGAGATAAATAAATTATTGGTCTTGTTTAAGCCACTACATTTTGAGTAGTTACACAGCAAGAGATAAGTGAAATATAGCTTAAGTATACAGTGAAATAGGAAATTTTTCCAGGTGCAATGGAAGTTTTGAACAGCAACAGTTTTAATTTTAAAACACAGAAATGTCACTAAGAAGTCACAATGAGGTCTACTCTAGGTCTTATTGATGGAATGGTATGCAGCCATTACTAACAATCTTGAAAAACTAAAATAATGCTTATGATTTTGAGTGAAACAAACTAGAAAAACTATGACAAATAACAAAGATAAAAAATTGCATACAAGTTTGTTTGTAACACCAAAATTCCCAGTCCCTTACAAGATGCAATATATTACAGACTCTAACTTTGGATCTATACCTAAAAGCACCTTGTGCCCCAAATAAATTCTCATCTTGTCATTTCAGAAAAACTAAATGAACAGTACTGACTGACTCCCTAAAACTAACTGCCCAGGGCACCATAGTTAATCTTAAGCAACGTGCACCAGACTTCTAGAACAGTATTAATCTTACAAGATTACAGGCTGCAGGCAAAGACTAGTGCCAAGGATGAATAATCAAAACCACCTTCAGAGAGTCAAAATAACCCCGGGTCACTGTAGGTTGCAATCCACTATATATTCAGCTTTGATTTAAATTCATCTCACCATTTGGCTCAACACAACTAAATTTTACACGTGGAGGAAAAAAAGCAGAAGCTGTTGAGGTCTATAGCCCAAACCACAGATTGAAGAGCTTCGGTCCAACAGTCAAATGGTTCTTGGCAGTGATTTCAGAACAGACATATCTACATAACATAAAGATGATGTTATAAAATGTTCACCATGTGAGGAATTGGTTGAAAGATATGAAGCTTACATCACAAAGTGGTATCTTGATCAAAATTAAGCAAAAGGATAAAAATTCCTCCAGTACATATCATAAAGACAAAATTATGAGATTAAAAAAAAAAAACACAGTGATGTAGAGAACGTCAAAGTTATTTATTTCCTGCAAATCTCCAGAGGTAAAATTGATTTGTTTCAATCAACTGTCATAGGTAAAAATCACTTAGTACAGCCTGGCCATCAAAAGACAGTAGCCTGAAATTAAAAAAAAAGAGAGAGAGAGAGAAATCATGTGTGTGAATGACTATGCTGACATGGTTTTCCCATTTAATGTCGATGGAAGTGAAAAACATATTAAAATTGGTTTTGGATTACACTTTCCTTAAAGAAGTTTAGCCAAGTATCTAAGTAAAACGTCTCTTATACAACACATTTATTAATGTAGACAGATGAAAAATGTGAATACAAACTCATGTTATTAATATGTATTAACTAATTACCATATTTTAAATGAGCAACCTTTGAGTCAGGATGCCTAGTGACTTTGTGAGAAACAAAGTAAAACAAAACCTGAGCTGACTGGCTTTCAGATTTTTCAAAGTTTTATATGCATGAAATTTCATAGTAATCTTCCATAGTACCTCCAAATATCATAAGCAATCTGTACCTTCTGGTTTATTATTAATCACTGTTGTGCTACTTGGTCAAATTAGGAAACCTGAAACAGCTTCAGTCAAACTAGATTGCTGAAATAAAAATGGACACCAGCTCCTGTTAAAATTAACAAGTCAGGCACAAATTACAAAGGTATCCATAGGCAGTAACACCCAGAAGGAAATTATCTTACCAATGAGCATGAACAAATGCACCTTGAAACATGGTATCACTCTTAAAAAGTAATGTTTAAATTGTTAAGTGACCCCAAAGCATATGAAGTGCCAAAGTATGCATCACTGACTGTGCAGCTAAGAAGCACATTCAAGGTCACACACCTCACGGGAAAAAAATACATCACTGAGGCAGATGTTTGAATCCACATAACGTGTAAACAAGTTGATGTGAGTGTACTAAGCTCAACTAATTGAAATAAAGCAGAGTAGGGTTCCCAGGGTTTTATATACTTTCAGTTTTCTAACATCA